AGCCTCATTTTCTAGGTGAGAAAATTGAGATTCAGCTCAATGAAGCCGGCTGATGGAGCTGGGATCCGGAACCAGAATTCCCTTACTCTTAGATTTTTTCGGCTTTGAGCCCTCTGATTCAGTTCTCCATCTCGGACCACTCTGGGTCCGAGGCAGTTGCCCCAACTAACGGATGCCCTTTCTTGACCTCTGTGCCCCTCTGTCTGGAGACCTCCTTGAATCCACATCCAGAACACTGGCCAGGGGAATTCATATTTTGGGGGGCAACTTCTCACAAGGTGGAGGAATGTACTTAGCTTCCTGATGTCCAGGGCTCTCTGGGACCCCAGGCCAGAGCTACTCCGGAGTTTTTTTGTTTTGTTTTGTTTTTTAATCTCTTTGGGCGTCCTCTCTGTGGGTACTCCAGGCCCTGAGGGGAGAGAACTTTGTAGAATGACTACCAGCCATTTGGTAAGGTCTGTCCTTTCTGCTTCTGCATCTGCCGCTCATCTCCTGTTCCCTACTGCCAGGCTCACCAAAGTTGCACTGGACTGGCCTTGTCTTCAGTGTGGCTTCATGGGACATAAGGCAGCCATCTGGGGAAGCCAGCAGTGGCAGAGAGAGTAGCCTCCTGGCCCGAGGATGGAACCCGCCTTGAACATGGCTGAAGGGGAGGAAAGGTAGCGAGGCTAGCAGCTGCACGTGCTCTCATGGCCAAGTCCAACTGAGGTTCCGTGGACTTCTCGACTTCCAACTGCAGCCTCTCTCACCAGGAGAGGGTTCAAGTCCTTCCCATCATGTCTTTGTCTAGACATTCCCTACTGATCATGCCCTGGAGCCGGCCCTGTGCTGGGGTATGCCATGAAGGGGCTGGACAAGTTTCCAGTTATCTACCTCATCTTCTAACAGAGGCATCTGGCAGAATGGGCTGTGTGCACTCCAGGTGCTGGGAACTAGCTCTGACCAAATATTTATGATGTGGCATATGTGATTTTTTTCAGTTAGCCTCAAGTTTAGACTTGCTGTCCCTTTGCTCGACCTAGCTTGCTTATCTCTGAGGCCTATCAGATTGGCAACAACAGGCTATACACGGCACACCTGGCCTCAGAGCCCCCCTGTGCTCATGTGTTCATGCAGCATGGCTGCCCTCCCTTTTCTGGCTGCCATGGCTCCCACCTGCTAATTTATGCTTTGAAGCTGACCCCCCTGCACCCCGAGTCCTCACTGATTCCAAATCTGACTGAATGCACCTGAGAGGCTTTTATTTTTTTAATTTATTTTTTAAAAAAGATTTTATTTGACACACAGCGATAGCACGAGACAGAGCACAAGCAGGGGGAGTGGCAGGCAGTCAGAGGGAGAGGGAGAAGCAGGCTCCCTGCTTAGCAAGGAGCTTGATGTGGGGCTCGATCCCAGGGCCCTGGAATCATGACCTGAGCGGAAGGCACATGCTTAAGCGACTAAGCCACCCAGGTGCCCCACCTGAAAGGCCTTTAAAAAAAATTTCCTAGGGTGCCTGGGTGGCTCAGTTGGTTAAGCGACTGCCTTCAGCTCAGGTCATGATCCTAGAGTCCTGGAATCGAGTCCCGCATCAGGCTCCCGGCTCCATGGGGAGTCTGCTTCTCCCTCTGACCTTCTCCCCTCTCGTGCTCTCTCTCACTGTCTCTCAAATAAATAAAATCTTTTTAAAAAATTTCCTTTAACTTATTAGGGTAATTTCAAACAAAAAAGTAAAAGAGTATATTGAACCCTTTTGTACCAGTTGTGCAACTTCAACAATTATGGATGGCCCATCTTGTTTCTTTTTTTTTTTTTTAAAGATTTTATTTGTTTGACAGATCACAAGTAGGCAGAGAGGCAGGCAGAGGGAGAGAGGGGGGAAGCGGACTCCCAGCTGAGCAGAGAGCCTGATGCGGGGCTCGATCCGAGGACCCTGGGATCATGACCTGAGCCAAAGGCAGAGGCTTTACCCCACTGAGCCACCCAGGTGCCCCAGCCCATCTTGTTTTATTTATACCTTACTCATTTATACCTCCTACAGAATATTTTAAGGCAAATCAAACACTTATTCCATCCATATCTAAGTTTGCATCTCTAAAAGATCATGGCTCTTTTTAAAAGACAACAACCATACCATTATGGCACCTAAAAGAGTCACAATACTTTTTTTTTAAAAGATTTTATTTATTTATTTGTCAGAGAGAGAGAGAGAGAGAGAGAGAGAGTGAGCACAGGCAGACAGAGTGGCAGAGGGAGAAGCAGGCTCCCTGCAGAGCAAGGAGCCCGATGTGGGACTCGATCCCAGGATGCTAGGATCATGACCTGAGCCGAAGGCAGCCGCTTAACCAACTGAGCCACCCAGGTGTCCCAAGAGTCACAATACTTAATATCATAAATTATCTATCATGTTCAAATTTCCCTGATGGCCTTATTTTTAAATAGTTGTTTTAATTACAATGTAGATAAGGCCACCCACATTGCATTTGGTGGTTATGTCTCTTAATCCATTGGTTCCTCTTCCTTCTCCCTTCCTTGCAATTTATTTGTTGAACAAATCAGGTCCTTTGTCCTTTAGCGTTTTCTGTCTTGGAATTTGCTGACTGCATCCAGGGTGTCATTTCACAGGTCCCTCTGTCACTTGTATTTCCTATAAAATCAAGAGTTATGGGAAAAATTTAAAACCACAGGTTTCCACATCCCACCCTAAAAATGTATTCAGTAGGACTGGTGTAAGTACTGGGGATCTCTAGTTTTCCTGAGAGCCCAGGTTAAGTCTGTTTGCCTCATGTTTGGGAATTGCCAACCTACACGACTCCTCCAGGATCGCAGATCTTCCTCAGTCACACCAAGTATCAGAGAGCAGCATGAGGGTCTAATCTCCAGCAGTGGGTAGTGGGAGTGTCTGCAGGAAGAGGCATTCGCTATCTTTTGGGGGTTAACGGAGACTTACAGTGGGAACTCCCCAGGGCCTGTGCCTCTTTCCTCTAATGTAGGTTAGGGAAACTTAAGTTATCAGGACCTTTCCGGGCCTTGAGGGTCTGGAAGAGGAGCAATACTCTTGCTGGTATGGCCCTCGAGGGTGAGTGTGCTGTTCGAAAGGTGAGGGGCTTCACCTGGGCCTGAGGGCTATAAGCTGCTGACAGTGCCCACTTTGGATCTGGGATGCTAAGGCAGGTAGACCTGGCACACAGGCCTGCACACACCCTGTCCTCTTCCTTCTCTGCTGATCTTCCCCCACCCCCACTCCCTAGGACCAACGGTCCCCTTAACTGCTGTGAGAGACATTCCGCTGGTAACAGCCAGCTCCCCACTGCCATGGCACACAGTAGTCGGAATGTTATTTTTAGCATCTATATCTAAGCATTTCACTACCCTGCTCAACTTCTTCCCGTGACTTCCCATCACACTAAGATCCACATTCCTCACCGTGGCTGATGAGGCCTGCTGTGGTCTGGCCCATGCCTGCTTCTCCAACCACATCTTTTATTCTTGTCTTTTCCCTCTGGCCACACTGGCCTTTCAGTTGGTCCTAGAACAGGCCAGCCTCACTTCTGCCTCAGGATCTTTGCACCTGCCATTTCCTCCTCCAGTTCTTCACATCTTCACTGAGCTGTCCCCTCCTCGAAGAAGCCTCCCCTGACTACCTTGTGGAACCTAGCATGCCCCTCATCACTCTACCCTTTTATCCCATTTTACTTTTATTGCACTTACATTTGAAATTATATCCTTTGTGTCTTCCTTTAGTTTGTGGATGCCTTGAGGAGAGGGGCTTCAGTCATCTTTTTCACTAATACAGCCTAAGCAACTAGTAGGTGCTCAATAAATATTTGTGGAGTAAATGGATAGATGGGTGGATTGACAAAGTCTTTTCAGACCTGCCTCTCATCTTCTCACACACACACACACACACACACGCACACACATGCACGCACACGTGCACATGGAGAAGGAGGTTCTCATCAGGCTCTTCATTTCTTAAAGAACCTGTCCAGGTCCTGCCCTATCTGCACAGGTGTAGAGAGCCGCACCATTAGAAGCTGCACTTGGGTCCTTTTTGGAGGCAGAAGGTCTGACTACAGGTTCTGCATGTGGGAATGTACTTCAAGGGAAGAGAGGGGTTTGGGGCCTGGCCTTGGACAAGCTGGATTTCAAGTCAAATATGTTAGACAAAATCGTTTTTTTTTTTTTTTTAAAAGATTTTATTTATTTATTTGACAGAGAGAAATCACAAGCAGGCAGAGAGGCAGGCAGAGAGAGAGGAGGAAGCAGGCTCCCTGCTGAGCAGAAAGCCCGATACGGGGCTTGAACCCAGGACCTGGGATCATGACCTGAGCTGAAGGCAGCGGCTTAACCCACTGAGCCACCCAGGCGCCCCGACAAAATCGTTTTATTGGTCAGAAATCCCCCCTGGGGCCAGAAAGGGCTGGGAATGAAGGAGCACATGAGCCTCAGTGGTGGTGACACCCAACTCTCTCTATTTTCTTCCTGCACTGGCGAGTGGGTCTTCCTGGGTCTCTTTATTCTGCTTCCTGGAACTCCAGACAGGGGGCTCCCTGGGTAGACACAAATTGCTTTTTTTCAGTTTCAAAAAGCCCGGCTCCTCTTGGTTTGTGTTGATGGCTGCTGGCAATGACTCAGGGCAGGAGTCCATCTGATAGATGGGCCCCTGCTGATACCAGTCTGAACCCTCTCTCTGCTCCAGGATCCTTGTTGACTCAAAGAATACAGACTTTTCTTTCTTCTTCCCAAGAAGGGACTCTGGAATATTGAGCAGAGAAACACCAGGTTTTCTTCCAGGCCAGTTTCAGCCCTGGGATGTTCAGAGCAGCCTCTCATTTCAAGCCTCAGTTCCTGAGGCTCCTTGTATATAGCCAGTTAGTATGGAAGGAGGCTCCTGGCTGATGAAAGCTCAGACAGAATGGCTCAGGTTCTAATCTCCAATGATGGACAGTGGGGTTCACTGCAGGAAGAGGCATCAGCTGTCTTGGTTGGTTAAACATTTGCCCTCCCTGAAGAGTGGCTCAGCCAGCAAGCTTCTGTGGGGTCATCCTCCGGCCACCATGCTGCAATCGCCGAATTTTGGGGCTGGAGCAACCTACGTCTTTATCCGACTCTGTGAGAGCTCGACGTCTCTTGGGAGCCCGGCTGGGAATTGGTTTCTCTGCTTCCACCTTTGCTGGGGTGGCCACAGGAGCATCCCCATAGGTCCGGTAGCCACCAACCAGGCAGTATGTCTCCCCATGCCAGCCCACTTGGGTTTCTCCACACCCTCGGTAGAGGACATGGTAGTGACCAGGTGTAGGAGGAGAAGTGGGAGCCACAGCTGCTGGAAGGAAAATCAGATCTCATCAGCCATTTCTGCTACATACAGTGACCTGCCAGGACCTCCCCTCTCATGTCTCTCCCAGTTTCTGGCTGAAGCCCTTTAATCTGCTCTGTATGCAAAACACAGCCTTGGCCTATCACCTCTGTGAGTTCCCTAGAGAAGGAATATGGCTGCAGAAGTGATTCTGTGGAGCTTAGGGCAGCAGCAGCAGACCAGGAAATCTGTTCCCCGTTCTCAGAGGAAACCGTAGAACCTGAAGACAGTTATCACCAGGATCCTTTCCATCGCTCCCTTCCACAGCAGAAAAAGCATTTCTTAACGTCTGTCACTTCTGAGGCTTTAATGGAAAAACCTTTCAGGTATTGGAAAAGTAATATAAATGGGCTAAAACCCCTCCCACCTTGGCAACTCCTCTTGGGCCCCATTCTGTTGCCTTTTCTAACCACACTGACCTCTAGCCCTCTGATACTTTTACCTAGATTAGAAAAAGGCCAAATGTGCAGGCCAAGTGACCAGGAGCTTCAGAGCCAGATTTTAGATAGGAAGTCTAGGCTCACGTCAACCTAACCTCCTAGGACACTATTTCGTCAGCCCTCCCGTCTTGTATCACTCATCTCTCTCCTTGACTCTTTTGTTCTTCTCACCGATATGACACCACCTTTCCCCAGTACTCAGCCGCTCAGTCTGGGGTGTGTCTCAGGGAACCCTTGTGCACGTCTATGCGACAGTACGGCGAAGCTGCCTGGCTTTGAAGCGGAGATTCACGAGGAGGCCTCAACGGTTCTTCCTCAACCTGCCCCATTTATCACTTGCGGACAAAAATTCACTTGACTTTTGCTAAGAGGCCAATTGGAAAGGGTCAGAATGGAAGAAGCTTGTAGCCTAAAAGGAAAGGCTGCATTTATAAACATTAGAAGCTTTCTGAATAGTTGCCCAAGGGATGCCGTTTCACTTCTCGGCAGTGAGCAGGAACACTGTAAGTCCCTCAGGAGGCCCCAGGCCACTTGTATTACTTACAGCTGGTTAAGTTCTGAGGTGTGGTGGGCAAGCCCAAAAGGAACATGTGGCAGCCAGGTGGAGTTGTGTGTACACCAGGGACTCTTGGACAGATGCCTGGGCTAAGCCTACCTGCTGTGCTGCCCTCCCAGGGGACAGAGGACAAGTTAGAATGAATATAGAAGATCCGGTCAGACATTCTCAGGCAACCAAACAGATTGGTATCCAGTAGAGAACTGGTAGGAAAGTTTCCCCGAGAGCACCACATTTGCGTAGTTACCCTGCCATGGAAACTGTGAGAAGGCCTGTGAGGTCATCACTACCCAGTGAGGTCACATAAGGAATCTGTGACTTGAGGGACAGGTTTCAGGCTCTCAGGGTTTTGTGGAGGAGAGCAGGGTGGAGGCAGAGAGGCACCTTGCTGGGGCCCTCACACTTCTCTCCCCAGCCAGCCCTAGTGAAGTAAACATTCCCCGTGGAGCATACCTGTGAGCTGGCACAGTCCCGGGGACCGAAAAGGGCAAGGGAAACCCACATTCTGCGATTGGCTTGAGTGGCAAAGTTAACCTGAGAGACAGCTAGGTTGTACGGCACTGACCCTAAGTTTTCAACAGCTGGAGAGGCAGAGATTTGTGTAGAAGGCTCTTTGGCAGTGGGTCTGAAGGATAAGTTAGATTTGGACCCATGGAGCGGAGATGAAGACATTCCAGCTGGGAAGAATAAAAGCAAAGACAAGCTCTTCTTGAACTTGTCCTGCTCCAAATGTAAATTCATAGAACCCTCACATTTTTACAACTGAGGACTCGAAAAACCAAGAGGTTAAGGGGGCCTACGCAAGGTTGCATAAGTAGCGGAGAAGTTCTCTGCTCTATGGTAGGGCTTCAAGTCGGAGTCTGAATTTGTACCTGATAAGAATGTGAGGACAAGCTCATCACATTTCAAAGTGACACTGGGAGAGATGTTAAAGGTGCTGCAAGGCAAAATGAGGGTCCTGAATGGCTTCATAAAGTGGGGATGACGGGCCCACTTTAGTATAAAATTCAAAACAAATTCATGGCAAAATGACAATACAAAATGACAATTTAATTATTACATTCATCTCTCACAAAAAGCAAATACTGTAATAATCCTACCACTGACAGGAGCAAGTGTGGGCTCAGCAGAAGTGTGGGTGAAAAACATGGTCAAATTGTGAAGAGACGTTACAAAAGCTGATTGGGTCCTACTCAGAGGTGGAGGAAATAGACAGCTCTGCCCTTAGCCTGATCAGGCCCACAGGAAAGAACCATATTTTGGGCAGCCTTGGATATAGTGCAGCCAAGAACCTCCTAGCAATGAGAGATGAGCTTCCTTAGGAGGGGACCCCCTCTTGCTGACCTTGAATATGTAAAGATGGGATGCTTGTTTCCCAGGGCAGTTGCAAAGGGGATGTGTCCTGGAGGTAGAAAATGACAGGACTACTATTTGAGAGTTTGGGCAACCCTGGTTGAGACCCACATCATCTTCTTTCTATTCCAGGGTTGCTTGAATTAATGTGGTGTGTGTTAGAGGACACATGAAGTCAGGCCTGATTAGAGTGGACTGCCCCTGGGGAGAGCTAGGAGGAAAAGTGTGAAGGGGAGAGCCATGGAGGAGGTTGTTTCTGGCAGGTGGGCCAGCAGAAGAACACTTAGATTCTCCCAAGGCTCCAGAGAGATTATTTGTCTGAGAACATCATTCTGACCTGGAAAGGTTACTGAAGGCTTATCAGGACGTGGCTGCATCTCTGGGGAAGGCAGAAGAGAATAGACAAATGGTTGAGTTCAGGAATCTGTAATTTTTTAAAGATTTTATTTATTTCACAGACAGAGATCACAAGTAGGTAAAGAGGCGGGCAGAGAGAGGGGGGGAAATAAGCTCCCTGCCAAGCAGAGCCCGATACAGGACTCGATCCCAGGACCCTGAGATCATGACCTGAGCTGAAGGCAGAGGCTTTAACCCACTGAGCCACCCAGGCACCCCTGTAATTTTCTTTTTTTAGGATTTTATTTTTAAATAATCTCCATATCCCTCATGGGGCTTGAACTCACAATCCAGAGACTGAGTCACACGCTCTACAGACTGAGCCAGCCAGGTGGCCCTGGAATCTGTATTTTTTTTAAATTTTATTTTTTATAAGCATATATTTTTATCCCCAGGGGTACAGGTCTGTGAATCGCCAGGTTTACACACTTCACAGCACTCACCATAGCACATACCCTCCCCAATGTCCATAATCCCACCCCCCCTCCCAAACCCCATCCCCCCATCAACCCTCAGTTTGTTTTGTGAGATTAAGAGTCACTTATGGTTAAAAAAGATTTTATTTATTTACTTGTCAGAGAGAGAGAGGGAGAGAGAGCGAGCACAGGCAGACAGAATGGCAGGCAGAGGCAGAGGGAGAATTAGGCTCCCTGACGAGCAAGGAGCCTGATGTGGGACTCGATCCCAGGACGCTGGGATCATGACCTGAGCTGAAGGCAGCTGCTTAACCAACTGAGCCACCCAGGCGTCCCTGGAATCTGTATTTTTAACAGTACTGCCAGAGTGATCCATGGATAGAGTTACCAAATTATTGTCCAAACTGGGTTGCTTTTGAGAGTCAAAGTGAACAATATTGAAAGTTGGTATAAAACTCAACCCTTAGTGCAGGTAGACTAGATTCTGCCATACTTGTGTGTATGATTTTGACTAAGTTCTTTTAACCCCCTGAGCCTCAAACTTCTTCATATGAAAAAGAGAGCTATGATTGTGCATTTAGTACAATATTCTCTCCTGGAGGATTGCCCTGCGCCCATTTCTTTTCTCTGCAACCTCATCATTTTCAGTGTGCAAGTATTTTGTTTTGTGGAGTATTTGACTCTCAACTGTGCATTACTTTAGGCTTATAGAATGATGCAGAAACTGGAACCTAGAAGCAGAGAATGCTATATGCTTATTTTGCCAGTTTTGTAAAAAGTTTAATCCTCTTTTCTCTTTCCCTGCCACAAGAGATGAGAAAGAAGGTAGAGCCTGGAAATGCACACCAATACTTCTGTGTCCGTCTGTCTGTCTTCTATTCTTCTGCCAGTACGTCCCAGAGAGATTTCACCAAGAATGCCCAAGCTTGCCATGGGCACTGTTGAAGAAAATCTCTCTGCTAGTCACATCCCCTTTCCTTTCTCTGGGATGCTTAATGGATGTTTTGTGGGGCAAGAAATAAAATCTGTTTACTAATTGAACAGCAGAAATAAAATCTGTTTACTAATTGAACCGCAATGGAATGGGGCACCTTGGTGGCTCAGTTGGTTGGGCGTCTGCCTTTGGCTCCAGTCATGATCTCAGGGTCCTGGGATCGAGCCCCACATCAGGCTCCCTGCTCAGTGGGGAGTCTGCTTCTCCCTCTCCCTTTGTCCCTCTCTGCTTGTGCTTGCTCTCTCAAATGAATAAAAACTTTAAAAAATAATAAAAATAGGGGCACCTGGGTGGCTCAGCGGGCTAAAGCCTCTGCCTTCGGCTCAGGTCATGGTCCCAGGGTCCTGGGATTGAGCCCCGAATCGGGGTCTCTGCTCAGCGGGGAGCCTGCTTCCCCCTCTCTCTCTGCCTGCTTCTCTGCCTACTTGTGATCTCTGTCAAATAAATAAATAAAAAATCTTTAAAAAGAAAAATAAAAAGATATTCTTCTAAAAAAAATAAAAATAAAAAATAATAAAAATAATAATAAAACAGCAATGGAAGTGCCTCAGTCCCAGATGTGTTGTTCGGAGTGTGAATCTTCTCACAATCCAATGAATTCTACCCCAGTGGTAACTATTATTAGAGGAGCCCCATAAATACATCATTTACTGTTAGGAATTATGACATAATACAATGCCAAAAATCTACTTTATTTTTCAGAACTCATGTGAAAGACTACAAAGAACCATGCTCACTCTGCAGTGCTGGCCCATCTACCTTTGGAAGCCAGAAACAGCTCACCAGGCCTTCAGAGAGGTGACTGGCTGCCCAGTGCATCCTACTGACAAGTGTGCTCACCCACCCAGGACAAAGGGAAAGATTCCTATTAATGGCATCACATTTAAGCTGGCTGCCATCAGATTTGCTGGGGCAAAGGCTCTCTTACTGAGGACCCAAGTCCTGGAAGACTTCTCCTCCGGCGTGCTGCCAGCTCAATCTTCTGAACCAGGTTTACATCCCAGGGATGGGTCACAAAGCTGATGACGGCGCCAGGCACCTCGCTTCCTACACGGCCCACCCTACCGGCTCTGTGGATGTAGTCTTGCAGGGTGAGAGGGAAATCATAATTGACAACTAGCTCTACACGGGTGCTGTCCAGGCCCCGAGAGGCTATGTCTGTGCAGAGGAGTATGTCTTGGGAGCCCTCCTGGAAGCACTGGAAGATGCCTGCCCTCATTGAGGCTGGCATTTGTCCCTGAAGCCTTAGGTGTTGGATTTTGTGGTCATCCAGAATATATCCCAGCCAATTCACAGTGCTGGAGCTATTACAAAACACCAGAACAGTTCCCGAGGGGCTAGACCTGTATGCTCTGTCATGCTGCTTGAGAATCTGCACCAACTCAGTCACCTTCTCTGCTCCCTTCAGCCTCATAAATGTCTGTCTAACATGAGGCATGATGCAGTGGAGCTTGGAGCTGGTGATGGTGGTCAGAGAGTCTGGGCTGGCAACTTTACTTAGCAGTTGGCCTACACCCTCAGGAAATGTGGCCCCCACCAGCACTAACTGAGCTTTGGGATTGAAAGGGTCCTTTAAGTCAGCGGGATCTTCTGCTATATGGCTCTTCTCCAAGATATAGTCCACTAGTTCCAGGAAGCTTTCATCCAATAGTGTGTCTGCCTCATCCAACACCAAGTAGGAGAGCTGCCTCAGGGTGATTAGTTGACCTTTCAGGGCCTTCCACAGAGCTCCTGGAGTGGCCACTAGTACATCTACTGAGGGTTGTTTGGACAGTTGCAGCCGGATCCTACTCATGCCACGGCCTCCCTCTAGCTCCCGCACGTGGAGGCCCAAGGAGACGCCCAAGGGCTGGGCCACCGCCCGCACCTGTTCGGCTAATTCTCGCGAAGGCACAAGGACCAGGCCTCGAGGAGCTGGTATACTGTGCGAATCCAAGCTTGGCCGGCCCAAGAGCCGCTGAAGCAGAGGTAGTAGGTATCCAAGAGTCTTGCCACTGCCGGTTTCCGCAGCGCAAAGGATGTGACGGCCGCGAAGTAGAGGGGGTATGGTGCGCGACTGCACGGTTGTAGGCCGAACGACTTCAGGAGCTGCCTCCTGTAGTGCATGCAGCACGCGGGGTTCCAGACCAAGAGCCGCAAAACTGCCCTCGAACTGGGGGTTCTGCAGCGCTGGTACCTCACGTTGCGCTCGCTCGATAGAGAAGTAGTCCCTGCGGGAGCGCCGATTCTTCCAACCACGCGAAGCTAGTGGCGCGCGCTCCCAACGGCCCAGCGTGAGGCGCGCCGGCTGGTTCAACTCTGGCCGCCGCGCCGAGATGAGCAGCGGGCCAGGTCGCGCCAGCACCAGCCGCGGGGAACTCCGTCTGCCTTGCCGCTCTTCCTGCCGCCGCTGTAGAGCCCGCGGGATGCGAACTACTGGCAGGGGCTCCTCCGGACCGCGGACCGCAAGGTCCCGTCGAGGTGTCAAAAGCAACGGAACCGCGATCCGCAGCACTCGCAGCGGCCGCGCCAGAGCCATAGTGCCTTGGTGTGCGACAGGCGCATGGCAATGACGTCACGGGCGCCCAAGGCCTCGAGGACGGTGTCTGGCACGGCTCAGCAAGGCTCGTGGAGTAGGCGAACCCTGAGGAAGGAGGGAGAGTCTGCAAAGTTCAACTGCGGCGAGGTCTGTAGGTCCGGACAGGGGTTGGCGACATCCAGACCCGGACCAACCTTGGGGAAACGGGCTCGATGAAGGCAGCCTCTGGGATCCGGCGCTACGCGGCGGTGGAGGCCTGGTCTTATGGACGGGGGGGCGGAGGGCTTCTGGCGATTGGGTGTCCGAGCCTTGCTATACTCCTTTATCGCTCCCACCGCTTCCTTGATGCCTTGTCAGTGCTGGTCTCCTCCCGTAAATTCCGAGGGTGCGGTGGTGTTTTCCCAGATGTGGTCCCCGTGCAAGGTCTGGTGGTAAATGTTTATTGAGAGTATGAATGTATGGTCAGGCCTGGGGGAGAAGACAAGGGCCAGGTGTCTTAGCTCTAGGTAACCCCCCCCCTTCCCTCGACCAAGAGCTGAGAGCCCCCAGGGCAAGCTGATGGCCTGTGAAGTAGAAGGTAAGATCTTCAGGCTTTATATCAAGCAGACCTTTCTCTTTGTATTCCCCCCCCCTTTTTTTTTAATTTTAAAGTTTTTTTTTTTTTTAAGATTTTTATTTATTTATTTTACAGACAGAGATCACAAGTAGGCAGAGAGGCAGGCTGAGAGAGGGGAAGGGAAGCAGGCTCCCTGCTGAGCAGAGAACCGGATGCAGGGCTTGATCCCAGGATCCTGGGATCATGACCTGAGCCGAAGGCAGAGGCTTTAACCCACTGAGCCACCCAGGCGCCCCTTTCCCTCCCTTTTCAGCTGAGATTCACTCTCCATTCTCTTGCCTCCCCTGCCAACTTTTCATCCTGAAGCTACCATTCTTGTAGTACACTCACCTCCACTGGCTTCTCAGATACCTAAATTGTTTAAATAGTGGTGAGGAAGGCCCTTCTAATCTACTGAGTGATCAGATATGTGAGGCTTGCCTCACATAGTCCTGGTCAGACAGAATATTTTACTTGAATTCATATGTTCAGGTTGCAAAAAAAACCCCTTATCTTTTTCTGATTGACTTACTTCTCTTAGCATTATACCCTCTAAATCCATCCATGTTGTTGGAAATGGCAAGATTTCATTCTTTTTTTAATAGTTAATATTCCAGTGTGTGTGTGTATACCACATCTCCTTTATCCATTCATCTATCAAGGGACACTTGGGTTCCTTCTATAATTTAACTGTTGTAAACAATGCTGCAGTAAACATAGGGATGCATATATATATTTTAAAAATATTTTAGGGGCGCCTGGGTGGCTCAGTGGGTTGGGCCGTTGCCTTCGGCTCAGGTCATGATCTCAGGGTCCTGGGATCGAGTCCCGCGTCGGGCTGTCTGCTCAGCCAGGAGCCTGCTTCTCTCTCTCTCTGTCTGCCTCTCTGCCTGCTTGTGATCTCTGTCAAATAAATAAATAAAATATTAAAAAAAAAATATTTTATTTATTTATTTGACAGAAAGAGAGACCACAAGTAGGCAGAGAGGCAGGCAGAGAGAGAGGAGGAAGCAGGCTCCCCACTGAGCAGAGAGCCCGATGCAGGGCTCGATCCTGGACCCTGGGATCATGACCCGAGCTGCAGGCAGAGGCTTTAACCCACTGAGCCACCCAGGTGCCTGGGATGCATATATTTTTTTGACTTCATGTTTTCATATTCTTTGCATGAATATCTAGTACTGGAATTGCTGGATCATATGGCAATTCTAGTTTTAATTTTTTGAGAAACTTCCACACTGTTTCCACAGTGGCTACTCCAGTTTTAATTTCTACCAACAGTGCAGGAGGGTTCTTTTTTCCTCCACATCCTCACCAATGCATGTTGTTCCCAAAAAGATAAATACTTCTAAAGTTTCAAATGCCATTTTGATACATAAGTAGACTTTCTGGAAAGTTACCATTAAACCATCAGAGGAGAGTTTTGAGTAGTGACAGATGAACAGAGTCATTGGATAGAGCAGTGGCTCTCAAGTGAGGGTGACTTTGCCCCTGCCCCACCCGGGGACATTTGACAGAGTTTGGAGACATTTTCATTTTTTATTTTTTTAAAGATTTCATTTATTTATTTGTCAGAGAGAGTACAAACAGCCGGAGTGGCATGCAAAGCAGGCAGAGGGAGACGCAGACTCCCAGCTGAGCAAGGAGCCCAGTGTGGGACTCAGTCCCAGGATCCTGGGATCATGACCTGAGCTGAAGGCAGCCGCTTAACTGACTGAGCCACCCAGGCATCCTGAGCATGGAGCCATTTTTAGTTGTCACATCTGGGAAGTGTGCTACTGGCATCTAGTGTGCAGATGCCAGGGATGTTGCTCAACATTGTACAATGTGCAAGAAAGCCCCCAACAAAAAAGGATTATCTGGCCCAATAGGTGAGCAGTGTGTTGTTGAGAAGCCCTGCATAGAGTATGAGGACTGAAGAGTGGCTGAGGTTACATGTGCTTTTACTACAGGTAGGTGCGTTTGACAAGCTCTTTCACTGGCTCTTCCTCACCCTCAGAATCTGTAGCAAGTACATTGATGCCATTGCTTGCTTTGACCTTGGGATTAGGAATGTTGGGGGCCCCGTAGGTCATAAACACAAGAAAAAGTGATTCAAGGGAGTGAAGCTGGAGAAGAGAAGTTTAGAGAGAACAAGACCGTCCTTATGGATCTGGGGAATGTGCCAAATGGAAAAGAGATGAGGTATGATGTGGGGTGTACTACTCCAGAAGGCAGAACAAGGACTCATAAGTAATAGGCAGATGCTAAATTTGATATAAAGAACTGCTGTAACAACTAAAATTGCCCAGATCTGTCTTGAGGGTACTGAGTTTTCTATCATTGAAAAGTTCATATCCAGGCCAGATGACTGCTGGTTGGCAATATGGTAGAGGGGAGTCAATACAAAGGACACTCTAAGATACTGTGATTCTATACTACTTCTATGATTCTTTTCAAGAACTCGGGGCTCCTTGTTCCTTATCTATGTAGCTTCCTGAACATCTGACTCAACAAATTTTATCCATTTACATGTGCCACTGTTTTTTCAGATAAAAACAAACTCTTACTTTGCACCAAGCCAGAACAGATATATTGAAGGAATTAATCAGAAAAGAATAATACATTGGTATGTACTTGCATTTGGGTTCTGCCCAAATATTTGGGGGCAGGGAAGCTGGTTAATATATGGCTGCTTTCTCACCATGCTCAAGCCCTGACAATATGATTAATTCAAAATCTCATAAGGGTCGGAATCTGTCTTAGCCATTCTCTGCTCATGGCCCTTAATTTCTTTTTGTTAGTTCATCGGCCACTAAATAAGGCTCCTCTCTTTTCCTTCTGCTCACCTTGAGTAACCTCTAGTTGTTATTGAGTTACATGTTGTATATTACAGTGCTTTAGAAATAAGAAAGTTTTGCTTATTGTAGAAAGAATGTAGGCTCCTGAGAGCAGAGGTCTAACTGGTAGTATTTTTTCCCAGGGCTGCCATGGTAACTCACATTGTCTGGTTACTCTTTTTTTTTTTTTTTTTTTTTTAAGATTTTTGTTTATTTATTTGACAGAGAGCACAAGTAGGTAGAGCTGCAGGCAGAGGGAGAGAAGCGGGCTCTCTGCTGAGCAGGGAGCCTAACATGGGGCTCCCTCCCAGGACTGTGGGATCATGACCCCAGCCGAAGGTAGCTGCTTAACTGACTCCATGAGTTTTAAACAGAATTGTCCCTTAGATCTCAGGTGATAATGGTACAGTCATTCATGCATTCATTTATTCATTGAGTAAATGTTTCCTGAGCACCATTCATGTGCTGGGTACTGTTCAAACAGACAGTGAGAAAAACAGGTAAAATTCCTGCCCTAGTGGAGTTTACATTCTGATTTAACTGGTTTGGCGGGGGGAGGGGTAATACCTGGACTTTGTTTTTTGTTGTTGTTGTTTTTTTTAAAATATTTTATTTATTTATTTGACAGACAGAGATCACAAGTAGGCAGAGAGAGCCCGTGGGATGCAGGCTCCCTGCCGAGCAGAGAGCCTGATGTGAACCCTGGTATCTTGACCTGAGCCGAAGGCAGAAGCTTTAACCCACTGAGCCACCCAGGTGCCCTGACATTGGTGTTTTTTTAAAGCCTTTCCAGATGATTCTAATGTGCCACCCTGTTTGAGAATCACAGTTATAAACAAAACACTTTGGGAATTGCAAGGCACTGCAAAAATAAAAAGTGGCTGTCAGTATTCTCTCCCTGTTCCTTCATTATCCTGCCTGCATCAGGACTGTTGTGCAAGTGCTGGCCATTCTCTTTTCAGCCCATGTCATTATGCGCCTACATCATTTCACCCTCTTTCTAACCCATTTCCTTGTCTCCTTCCGGTCTTTCACTCTCCAGCCCATCATCTATTTTCTGAATGATCTTGCTAAAGCCCAGCCATGGCCTTGTCACCCCTTGACGCAAAAGCTGTTAGAGGATGTGTGTGGCCTACAGCTCATCTCCTCATCATCTCCAGAGTCTGTTCCCCACTTCGTCTCCTGCTGCTTTCTTACCTGAGTCTTGTTCACTCAAGTGATGGCTCTTATGCAAGTTGCATAAAGGGCTCGCAGTCCTTCACTGGGTAAGCAAGGGAGTGGGGTAGTCATTTGTCTGCTCTGTAACCAAATGAGGTATGGCAAGGCACTTGAAGTGCTCTGTGATAGAGCACATTTGTCTGCGATAGAGCCCTTTCGTAGCTGAAGCATGGGGTCATATTGTGGTTCTCATTGCCACTTGACCTGTTAACTTCTTTCCACAACAAACCCTAACATTTATGCCAGATTGTGTTTTCTGTGCTCTGTGACAAAGACCTGGTGATAAGCAAGATGCAGGGCTTGCCTTCCCCTTGTGATGAGGGAGGTAGGTTGACAGTTAGTTGCTCTTATAATTACAAGAGTATATTCCATCCCAGGACAGGAATGAGCTAAGAGAAGGTGCCCTTACTCTGTGTTTGGGAGATAAATGTCAGGGAAGGCTTTCTGGAGGAAGTGCATCTATGTGATGTTCTGAAAGGCTGCTGAAGTCAGCCAGGTAGAGGGATAGGAATCTGGGTTCTAGGCAGGGGCAACTTGTTCAGAGACAGTTTGTTGAGAGACAGCAGGCCAGTTTGGGGAGCTAGAAATAGTTCAGAAGAGATGAGGCTTAGCATGGGGGAGTTAAGAGGGCAGGGGCAAGAGATGAAAGACAGGGCTTCTGAGGAAGGCAGGGAGCAGACTTGTTTGCAGTGTGAAGGAGCTGGGACTTAATTGTAAGGGCAGAAGGGAAGGCTGTGGAGAATAGGAATATCCTGTCCCAATTTGTGTTTTGAAAGACCCTGCCGGCTGCTGGAAGGAACTTAGATTGAACACAATGAGCCTGGAAGCAGAGAGACTGGTTTGCAGGCTGTTGTCGTCAGTCACCTGATAGATGGCAGTGGTAGAGCCGAGACGTTCCTTGGGCTCAAGAGCTCAGTTCTTTCCATTTCTTTACCTTCTGCACTTCACACAGTGCCTTCATCCTAAAAGAACTAGTAGATGTCTGTTGATCTAACAATAGACTTCGAATGTGTTGAAAGTGTAAAAGCCAGATAGTGAGAGCAGTTAACATTTATTAAACCCTTACTGTTGGGACGCCTGGGTGGCTCAGTTGGTTAAGCCCCTGTGTTTGGCTCAGGTCATGATCCCAGGGTCCTGGGATCGAGTCCCACATCGGGCTCCTTGCTCAGCGGGGAGCCTGCTTCTCTCTCTTCCTCTGCGTGCCACTCTGCCTGCTTGTGCGTTCTCTCTCTGACAAATGAATAAATAAAATCTTAAAAACAAACAAAGAAATCCTTACTGTGTGCCGGGCGCTGTTGTGCATCATAGAATTGACTTTTCACAGCATCCCACCTGATGTAGATTCTGTGGGAGCCTCATATGCCAGAGGGAGAGGCTGAGCCTCCATTAGGTTAATTCATCTGCCTGGGGCAGAGTTGGGGTTCCAGTGCACGTCTGTCTGATTCCAGAGTTTGGAATCTTAATAGAGAGATGCTGTATCACCTCTTTCTCTTGTAAGTATAATAGGTCACTTTAATTTTTTCTTATCTACACATGTTTTGAGTGGGAAATAGGATAATTCTCTGAATATTTAATCCTAATTGACTTTTTTTTTTTAAGATTTTATTTATTTATTTGACAGACAGAGATCACAAGTAGGCAGAGAGGCAGAGAGAGAGAGAGGAAGGGAAGCAGGCTCCCCGCTGAGCAGAGAGCCTGATGCGAGGCTCGATCCCAGGACCCCGGAATCCTGACCTGAGCTGAAGGCAGAGTCTTTAACCCACTGAGCCATCCAGGCGCCCCTTGACTTCCGTTTTAACTCTAAATTTGTATTTTAAAGAAATTGCTTTTTAAGCAAGGTCGTAGCCTCTAGGAAAATTTACATGGAAGGGTAAATGGTAAAGTTTTTTTTCCATTCATTGCTTTCCCTGAGTAGTGTTATCTTCAGTCTGAAAGTGTTATAATTAGTGGGATTTTGTATCTATGCAATTGAAATTAAGGTTACTGTCTGAGAAGGTAACCAAAACTGTCAGAAGACCAGCCCTTAAAAGAATGGTGGAGAGAGAAGAAAAAAAAAGAATGATAGAGAGATCGTCTCAGTTTGTGTGACTGAATTGGTGATCTGGGTGTGATCTTGGGGCCCAGCGAATGGTTGTGACAGTAACTGGGAAAGGGTGGGGACTGCCTCATTTCTTTGAAAGGAGTCTTTTTGGAGGCAAGCCCCGTCAGGCACTGCTGGCAGGTGCCAGAGGGAGTTCCCAGACCAACCACCCTCTAGGAGGGTGTCCTTAGCTGCCACAGAGTAAGAATTCAGTCATACCTTGCTTTCTAAGCAGCTGCTAAGGGTCAAGTACTGGGCTCAGGGCTAGAAATCTGGCAGTAAACTAGGTAGTGATATTCCTGTCCTTGTGGAACTTGTCCTGATGGCTTAGAGCAGGAACTGGGGGTTAAACAAGAAACCACACAAATCAGTGTGGACACATGGGGGTTGTAATTGAGCTATAGGGAAGCACAAAGTGTTGCGAGAGCATGTGACCAGGGACCTGAAGTTAGATGGTCTGGTAGGGAATTGTCTCCAAAAAGGGGACATTCAAGGTCAAGAGGACCTCAGTGTGGGTGTGTATGATTGAGTCGTGAGAGTCTTCCAGACAGAGAGGATGGATTCCAAGTGCACAGACCCCAGAGATTAGTGTGGGAGACTTTCAAAGAAGTCCAGGGTGACCAGGACAAGGAAAGTGAGGGGGAGAGAGGCTCGAGGTAAGCTGGAGATGTGGGCAGGGACAGGTCATGCAGGGCTTGGTGGGCCATCAGAGGGTTTGGGAGTTCTCCTAAACTCAGAGGGAAGCCATTGAAGGATATAAACAAGGGAGGGGTATTATCAGAGTTGCCTTTTTCAAATGCCACACAGTATCAAGAGAAAGAATAGGAGCGGGTAGGATTAGATTTGGGGAGACCAATTAGGAGGCTGGCTTCCTGCACAATGGTGGCCCTGGAGATGGAGCAAAGCAGATGGATTAGAGTTATATTTTGAAGGTTGTTTCCACAGTAGTTAGTGATAGATTAAATGTGGGGAATATGAATTAAGGATGAGTAATTGGGTGAATGGAAATGCTAGTTGCTGAAATGGGAAACATTTTCTCTCCATGTATTGGCCTGATTAACATCTTCTCTCCCTTGAAATCTTGAATCAGAAATTATTTCTTGGGGCGCCTGGGTGGCTCAGTCGGTTAAGCATCTGACTCTCGATTTCGGCTCAGATCTTGATCTCAGGTTTGTGAGATAGAGCCCTGTGTCAGGACCCACGCTCAATGCAGAGTTTGCTTGAGATTATTTCCCCTCCCTCCCACCCCCTGTGCTGTATCCCCTCCCTGCACTCTTGAATTTGCTCTCTTTTTCTAAAATAAATAAAATCAAAAACAAAAAATAAAAAGAAGAAGAAGAAATTATTTCTTAAGGGAAGCCTTTCTCAACCCCGCTATTCATCCATTTCCTGCGGCACAGCTTCCCAAAACCTCATGTCCTTCATAGCACTGTACATGGTCGTAATTTCACAAGTATTTGTAAGTTCCCTTTCTATAACCCTCTCTTCTTCTGTACCTCCTCCTCCTCATAGTGCCAGTCAGTGCTTAGCATATCATAGGGGCTCAATAGATGTCTGTTGAATGAATTAATGAAGATAGAGGAGGCAGCTTAGGAGGGCAGATCAAGATCTTGTTTTTGCATGCTTAGTATAAGATGTCCTTAAGATACCCGGGTGGGGATGTGTGTTGAACAGTTGATATGTTCAACTATATCTGGTATATATGCTGGTGATCTCCAAAGATGCCAATATTTTAAGCCATGGGAATAAGCAAATTTGCAAGGGAGAATGTGTGGAATTAGAAGGGAAGAGGGCCCAAGACTAAGGAGGAAACAAGTGAGTAGAGGAGGTGAAACCAGGGAAGACACTGAAAAGCAGAGCAGAGAGTTGGGAGAAAAACCAGGAAAGTATGGGGTCAGGGGGGTCAAGGAAGAGGGGAGGCTCAACCATGTCACTGCACTGTTAGTGAAACAAGATTGTGGACAGGTGAGTGGTTGATCTCACAACTTCCAGGTCATTGGTGACTTTGAGCAGTTTTAGTGGAGCAGTGAGGTGAGGGCCCGGCAGAATGGGCTGAATAGTAAAAAAGCAAATGGAAACAGTAACTGAGCAGAGCATAGCAGTGGCTAGCTAGCTTCATGACTTTTAGAGGGGTCCATATTTGCTAAGAATAAATAAATGTTAACAGTTCTCTCTGGGATATGGGATTTCGATTTTTTTTTCTTTTTACTCCTGTTGGCTCTACTTTCAAAGTATATTTAGGATGTGATCACTTCTCACCACCTCTAATACCAGCTCCCTGGCCTGAGCCACCATCAATTTTTATGTTGGTTACCAAAGAGCCTTGTACTTGGTCTGCCTATGTTTACTCTGGCCCCCAAAGGACTGCTCTGCTCTTTATTTAGCAGTCACCATGATCCTGAGAAAACATGTTCAGTCATGCTACTCCTCTATTTAAAACCCTTTACTGGCTTCTATTTTGTGAAGAGCTAACAGTCCGTAGAGTGTCCTTCAAGGCCATATGGGATCTGACTACTGTGTGCTTACTGCTGAGACATTTTGTATCTGACTTTCATTACTTTCTCTTCTCTTTGTGTTCCAACCATATTGGTCTTCTTGCTGTTACTCTAACACACCAGGCAAGCTCCTGCCCTAGGGCCTTTGCACTGGCTGTCTCTTCTGCTGTGTATTCTTTTTTTTTTTTTAATATTTTATTTATTTATTTGACAGAGAGAGAGATCACAAGTAGGCAGAGAGGCAGGCAGAGAGAGGGGGGAGGCAGGCTCCCTGCTGAGCAGAGAGCCCCATGTGGGGCTTGATCCCAGGACCCTGAGACCATGACCCGAGCCAAAGGCAGAGGCTTAACCACTGAGCTATCCAGGTGCCCTCTTCTGCTGTGTATTCTTCCACTAGATACCAACTTGGCTAACTCAAGTCTTAGCTCAAATGTTATCTTTCCATTGAAGCCTATCTTGGTTTCCCTATTTAAAATTTTATATTTTAACATAAATATTTTCATATAAATGTTTTTATATTTTAATGTAAAATATACAATTAATATACCATGTATTTGTATTTTTCCTGCTGGGAGTGTGGGATAAATGGGTGAAGGTGGTAGAAAGATAGGAACTTCTGGGGCGCCTGAGTGGTGCAGTTGGTTAAATGTCTGACTCTTGAGTGCGGCTCAGGTCATGATTTCAGGGTTGTGGGATTGAGCCCTGTGTTGGCTCTGTGCTTAGCACAGAATCTGCTTGTTCCTCTCCCTCTTCTCCTCCCCTACCCCTTTTCTTTCTCTCTCTCTAAAAAAAGAAAAAAAAAGGATATGACTTCCAGTTAGAAGATAAATATGTTCTGAGGATGTAATCTACAACATAGCAGCTATAGTTGACAATATCACTTATTTGAAGGTTGCTGAGAGTGGATCTTTTAAAAAAGATTTTATTTATTTATTCAGGATGCCTGGGTGGCTCAGTTGGTTAAGCGGCTGCCTTCGGCTCAGGTCATGATCCCAGCGTCCTGGGATCAAGTCCCACATTGGGCTCCTTGCTCAGCGGGGAGCCTGCTTCTCCCTCTGCCTCTGCCTGCCATTCTGTCTGCCTGTGCTCATTCTCTCTGACAAATAAATAAATAAAATCTTAAAAAAAAAAAAAGATTTTATTTATTTATTTATTTATTTGAGAAAGAGAGAGAGAGGGAGAGGGAGCAGGGGGAGGAGCAGAAGGGGAAGGAATCCCAAGCTGACTCAGTGAGCTGAGTGCAGAGCCCATTATGGGGCTCTGTCCCACAACCCTGAGATCATGACCTGAGCCGCAACCAAGAGTCGGATGCCCAACCTACTGAGCCACCCAGAGACCTCACTAAGAGTCGATCTTAAAAGTTCTCATCACAATAAAAAGAATTATTAATATATGAGGTGATAGATATTAACTTACCGTGGTAATCATTTTCTGGTATATACATATATCAAATCACTATGTTGTACACCTTAAATTAATACATTATATGTCAATCACATCTCAGTAAAATGGAAAAAACTTTTAACCCAGCCCTAGTGTTTTCAATTTCCTTTCTCCCTGTTTTTTAACTCCATAGCATTACCAGTTTTTCAACATGCTATGTAATTTGTTACATGTTATTTTTTTTGCCTTTGTTCCCCTGCTAGAATAAAAGCTCTGTTAGAGCAGAAATTTTTCTGTTTTGTTCTCTAATTATCCCAAAAGACTAGGACAGTGACTGTCCCAAACTAGGCATATAATTATTATTCTTTAGATTAATGAATAAACATGCCTGATTTTTATGATCAGAGAAAAGGGAAACAAAGTCCTATGTGTTGGATAGAAGAAGAAAAGTCTGCCCTGGATAACAGAGAAGATTTTCTTTTCGTGGATTTCAGACTCTTGTTTTCCCTTTCTGCAGGCTTTAGCAGAGGAAGAATGATTGAGCATAGCCTCTCACTGTGCTACCGCAACAAACTCATCTTAGCCCCTATGGTTCGGGTAGGCACTCTTCCAATGCGGCTGCTGGCCCTGGACTATGGAGCGGACATTGTGTACTGTGAGGTAAGAGGCTCCTGATTTTCTCGGAGGGCTTTGCCACCAGTGTGGCCTCCTTGTCTGTGGGTGGGAGTGGTCAGGAGTTAGTTGGGGGCAGAATGGGCACTCACTTCACAGGCACTCCCTGAAGGCAGCGGGAGACAAACATGACACTTGTGAGTTTTCTGGGCCCTGTTCAGGGTCAGGAGCCTGGGCAGCATGGAGGCCTTGTGGGATCCCTGGGCTGGGTGATTAGATGAGTGTTGTATCAGGTCACTGCCCTGGCCTCCACACGAGTGAATAGACATTCATGCATGTGTGAATGAACTCAAGGCTAGGAAGAGGAGGAAAAGGAGCAGGGAGGCGGGATGGGGTTGGTTTTGAGAGCCACAGGATTTTCTGGTAGTAGTACCTAGTGGGTTGCCTACATTCTGGCTGTTCTGGAGAGTAGTAGGCCTTTACACCCAGGCTTAAAAAGTATTTTCTGGGAAAAACAGCATTATAGAAGTAGTTGATATTGGATAGTGTTGGGGTATGAGCAGTGTTTCTCTGGTGGGCATATAACAGAATTATCTGGAGAATTCTCTCCCACTCACCATCCCCAGTCCTGATATGTCTCCCCAGTGTGGGCGAGAAGTTGAAGAAGAAGGTATTCAAGTGCTTCAGATACTTCTATCTTTGAAAAGCATTGCTGGTGGGATGGTGACTGTGGCTATAAAAGGGCAGAACAAGGAATCCTAGTGGTGATAGGACTGTTGGAACTGTTCATGGAACTGTTATGTGACTGAACTCTCAGTGTCAGTATCCTGCTTGTATTACACTATAGTTGTTTTTGTTTTTTTTTTAAAGATTTTATTTATTTATTTGACAGACAGAGATCACAAGTAGGCAGAGAGGCAGGCAGAGAGAGAGGAAGGGAAGCAGGCTCCCTGCTAAGCAGAGAGCCCGATGCGGGACTCGATCCCAGGACCCTGAGATCATGACCCGAGCCGAAGGCAGCGGCTTAACCCACTGAGCCACCCAGGCGCCCTACACTATAGTTTTGTAAGATGTTACCATTGGGGAAGTTGGGCAAACAGTACATAAGAGTTCACTTTTTTTTTTTTTTAAGCAGGCTCCACGCCCAGCACGGAGCCTGATGCGGGGCTTGAACTCATGACCCTGAGATCAAGACCTGAGCTGAGATCAAGAGTTGGATGCTTAACCAACTGAGCCAGCCAGGCGCCCCTGGGAGCCCACATTCTTACAATTGCATGTGAACCTCCAATTATCTCAAAATAAAAATTTTAATTAAAAAGCCACTGGTATAGAGAGAAGGGAGGGCTTAAGAGGGAACTTGGGAAGAATATACCCTAATGTACTGGGTGTTTGTATGTGGGGGGACAGGTAAGTAATTTATGATAGAAAAGTAAGAGTGGGGCGCTTGGCTGGCTCAGTCAGTAGGGCATATAACTCTTGATCTTGGGGTTGTGAATTCAAGCCCCACCTTGGGCTTGTAACCTACTTAAAGTAAAATCTTAAGAAAAGTAAAAGAGTGAGGGAAATAGGCAAATTAAGAAGGTGTGTCAGGGAAGGCAAAAGTCAAGTCTGTCAAGTGTGATAGATGATATAGAGAAATCCGATTGCAAAAGGACCAAAAAGGTGATTTGGAAACCAGACGATTGGAGGACAGCTGTGGCACAGAGATGCAAACACTTGTGGGGGCAATGGATTGCGGAGTAAGCAGCAAATGAGGAAATAGAAACAGAGGTGCCCACTACCCCTCAGGAATTCAAGAGGTGAATGGAAGAAAAGAGTACATGCAGGTAGGGGAGATGAAGGAAGCTGGGTGAAGGGAGTGACTTGTATATTTGCAACCTAAGAGAAAGCACTTTGCCTTGAGATGAAGGCTGAAGATTCAGCAAATTGGTGTGGGGTGGGTAGGGCCTGGACTTGGAGGGGCAGGCTTCTAGATGAGGTAGTGGGGCCTGCCTCCAAGATAGGGCAGGGAGGAGAGTGGGGGAACCATGGAAGGCAGGGAAGCCAAGGGGTTTTGCCTGAGATATGTTTTACAAGATGTGGGAAGCCAGTCCTCTGTCGGCGATGAGGGTGGCAGGAGTGGGGTGGAGACCTGAGAAAAGAAAGTGAGGGCAGTTTGGTCCCTTTGCTGTGGAGAATGGGCACTGGGAGATTTGCCTGGCAGCTAGGTCTGCATAGTCATGCTGTTTTTCAGCTTTATGGGAAGGAGAGCTGCAGAGCCTGAGGGGATGCCCATGGCTGAGGATTGGCATGCTGCTGTCTGCAGCCGGGCAGGGCCAGAACCATCTAGGGTGCTAGCAAAATGAAATGGGAGAGAGGGAGCATGTGTTGTCCAAATGTGGGAGTCAGAAAGTGAGGTTCCCGAGTTTCGGGTCATGGGTGTAGGACCTGACTTCTAAGGGGTTGAAATAGAGGCAAGGAAGTCCAAGAAATGAGAGCTAGGCATCTGTAAGCCTTCCATCCTGCCAGAATTTGCCCAGGGCAGGGAGGAACCTGTGTCCAGAGGCTAGTCGCAGGGGAATGTGGTAGTACACTGAGCAGTGTTTATCTGGTCCCTCATTCTTCAAGCCTCTACTCAGGCCCTCAGGTGGTCAGCTGTGGGTTAAGTGTGGCCTTTCTTAGCCAGCTCCCTCCTGGCCCTCCAAACGTCTTGGATTTCGAAGAGGATTGGGAGGATGGACTGTGAGGACTCATGGACTGTGAGGGACTGCAAGGACTCATGGACTTAGAGCCTGAGGAACGGAGACCAAAAATATAAGTCCCAGAGAGCTCAGCGGTTGTTTTGTTGCCTGTGATGCCCCCTTCAGCATGCTTGGTGGGTGTTTACTCTGTAGAGTCAAGACGGCTTATAAACGGACTGGCCTCTGCCAAAGTCAAGATGGCTTATAAACAAACCAGCCTCTGCCAGAGGACACCTAGGCCTTCCCCTCAGGCATAACACCTGCGGAGAGCAGAGGCAGGTTGGCCAGTGGACCCTTGCTTAGCATTGGTAGGTGGCCAGGATGGCCTAGTACTGGACTTGGCACAGTATGGTGCCTGCTGCCCCCTGGTGGGCCCAGTGTTGCTGTGCAGGCCCGCTGCCTGGATGATCTGGGTTCACGTGAGGTGGTCCAGCTGTGGTTTTAGTTAAAGCGTCCCACTCACCTCACAGGACCAGAGTATAGGCTTTAGGAAATACCAGGCATGCACGCACCTCCTTAAAAGCTCTGCAAAGCCCTCAGCAGCTCGAGGTGAAGAAAGGATGAACTAGCTCAGCAGAAGTCAAGGGAGCAGTAGTCTGATTCCCCACTAAGTTTTGCCTTATTGATAGGGGTTTTCCAGGAGTCCCTCAAATGTTATGTAGCTATTCCTTTTTATAAAAACAAGGGACTGGGTGCTGGGGTGGCTCAGTTGGTTAAGCAACTGCCTTTGGCTCAGGTCATGATCCCTGGGTCCTGGGGTCGAGTCCCACATGGGGCTCCCTGCTCTGCAGGGAGTCTGCTTCTCTGTCTCCTTCTGCCTGCCACAACCCTGCTTGTGTGTTCTCTCTTTCTCTCTCTCTCTCAAATAAATAAATAAAATCTTTAAAAACAACAAAACAAAACAAGGGGACTCCAATTGCCCAGAATGTAAGAACACACCTACCTGTTAGACTTAAACCTTTTACTGAACAAGACTAAGGGAGGAGGCAGTGTTATGAAGAGGCCCGGGTTGCCAGAATGGGTACTTAAAAGTTTTTTGGGGGGCACCTGGGTGGCTCAGTGGGTTAGGCCTCTGCCTTCAGCTCAGGTCATGATCTCAGGGTCCTGGGATCGAGCCCCGCATCGGGCTCTCTGCTCAGCGGGGAGCCTGCTTCCCCCCACTCTCTGCCTGCCTCTCTGCCTCCTTGTGATCTCTCTCTCTCTCTCTCTCTGTGTCAAATAAATAAAATCTTTAAAAAAAAAAAAGCTTTTTGGGCATGTGGTAAGAAAACATATAAAATTTACTATCTTAGGGGTGCCTGGGTGGTTCAGTGGGTTAAGCCTCTGCCTTCTGCTCAGGTCATGATACCAGGGTCCTGGGATCGAGCCCCGAATCGGGCTCTCTGCTCGGCGGGGAGCCTGCTTCCTCCTCTCTCTCTGCCTGCCTCTCTGCCTACTTGTCATCTCTGTCAAATAAATAAATAAAATCTTTAAAAAAAATTTACCATCTTAACCATTTTTGAATGTGCACTTTGGTAGTGTTGAGTTGTGAAACAGATATCTAGAATCTTTTCATCTTGCACTACTGAAACTCTGTGCTCATAAAACAACTCCCCCCTTACCCCATCTCTCCAGGCCCTGGTAACCACTCTCCTATTTCCTGTTTCTATGAATTTGACTACTTTAGGTACTTCATAGAAGTGGAAGCATATGCGATACTTGTCTTTTTGTGACTGGCTTGTATCACTTAGCATAATGTTTCCAAGGTTCATCCATGTTTTAGTATGTGGCAGGATTTCCTTCCATTTTTAGGCTGAATAATAGTCCATTGTATGTATATGCCCCATTCTGTTTATACATTCATTGGTTGATGAACATTTGAGTCCTTCCACCTCTTGGTTATTTTGAATAGTGCTGCTATGAACATAGGTATGCAAATATCTCTTTGAGAGCTTGCTTTCAATTCTTTTGGATATATATATCTACAAGGGGGATTGCTAGATCAGGTGGTAGTTCTGTTTTTAACTTTTAGAAGAAACTCTATACTATTTGCCCTAGAAAAATTGCACCATTTTACAATCCTACCAACAGTGAACAATTTCTCCATGTCCTTGTTAATGCTTGTTTTGTTGTTGTTTTCCTTTTCTTTCTTTTTTATTTTTTTTTTAAGATTTTATTTATTTATTCGACAGACAGAGATCACAAGCAGGCAGAGAGGCAGGCAGAGAGAGAGAGGGGGAAGCAGGCTCCCCGCTGAGCAGAGAGCCCGATGCGGGGCTCGATCCCAGGACCCTGAGATCATGACCTGAGCCGAAGGCAGAGGCTTTAACCCACTGAGCCACCCAGGCG